TGATCTTCCCACAATGAAAGCTGTAAGTCTATCTTTCCCATGTGAACAGTCCCTGTGTTCCAACTTATCTATTCGATGCAAATGTAGTTTTCTCGTTTTGTGCAGATACTGTGTCTCGTATTTCTCGGTTCAGCCCTTGCAGCGACCAGGTTGAGGAGGCAGGTGTACAACCAGGATCCCAAGCAGGCGCCTATTGTGGCTTACCAGAATGATGTCAGCTTCGATGGAAACTACGTATACAAGTAAAAGTTTTTAATTATTTATATTATTATAAAATAATTTAAATTCTTTTAAAATTAAAAAAAAAAAAACCTTAGAAGTTATGTGAATTCATTTTATTGAAGTGTTCATTTGGTTTTTGTTTGATTGTAAGTGTAAAATCTTAATTGATTTTATATATGAATGAAGGTCACATAACTAAATCTACCTTAAAAAACATTTGATCCGATTCGGCCTAACATATAATGGTATTTCGAGGTAATATTTCATTAATGTTACACGATTTTTCTTAAAGGTCTTCATAATCTTAATTCATAATTTTTTTTTACAACGATTAATAAAAAATAGATGAAAAGAAATAGCATTGAATAATAAATAAGCAGGTGTTCTCACGCAAAATCATTATTATTTTTTTACCTCACAATGAAAAAAGTTTGTTACATATTAATGATACAATTTAATTAACAATGGTTCAGAGACATGTTTTTGTAACAAACCTTACTGAATATCGTCCTAGTGACAGAGAATATTAATTATTAACAATTATAATATAATAAAAGAATCACATTGGTCATATTTGCAATTAAGTTTTTTCTGGAAAAGTTAATTAATATAGTTTTATTTGTGTATCTCACCAAATCTTTATAATTAGTGTCCATGATTTCTCTTTATAGATCATAATAGATGCTATAAATACAACTAGTAATCATAAATGAATGGAGACACATGCGATTCGTTTTCAATCATCCTTTCATAATAAATATAGTAAGAATATTTAAGATCTTTCAGTTAGCAAGCTATAGAATCGAATATTTCATGGTTTCATGTATTTCTAACATGCATTAATTTAATTGTTCTTATTTAAAAATATTTTTTAATGTTAAAATTGATTTTTGTTAACTGATATTTGCCTGCTTATTTATTTTCGATTAATTAACGGACTGTCTTCAATTTCTTATGAATTGTTTTGAGAGTGAAAAAGTTCACTGGAAATTTTTTAAATTTGTATTGTTCATCAGATTTCATGTAATCAGGGATAGTGTTGTAGTCATGCTGAAATAACAATAACATCTAAGGAGGTAGATGGGATGAAAATAATGGGATAATCAATACAATTTGAATCAAACAGGCAGCAAGTCAATAACGCAATTGCTTACATGAGGATAAAAGCAACAGGATTTCAATAAAATTATTCAGGATCCGGCGGTTGAATAATTCAGCGATTTATCGTTATTTTTTATTCACCATTAAAATTAGTTTTCTATCGCTTTCAAAATTTTTAAATACTTACAAGAATCAATGGATTTATTTATATTCAATTAATTACTGAAGTACCTGTACATGGTTTAATTGGTTCCAAGTTGAATGCCGTACAGTGTTAGTTAAGTACCAAGTCCTACAACAGTATCATATTACACAATTGGCATATAACACATTAAAATTTCTTATAATTGTCCAAGTTTTCTGATTATTATTATTTGTATATTATTAATTAATTTAAATGAATAAATTAATTTTGTTTTATTATACTTACACTTTTTATGGATGCGAAACTTGGCCGCTTACATTAAGGGATGAGCAGCGTCTTAAGGTTTTTGAAAATAAAGTATTGCGTAGAATATTCGGACCGAAGAAGGATGAGTTAACCGGAGAGTTCAGACGGTTACACAACGCCGAATTGCGTGAGCTGTATCCGGGTAATATAATTGAGGTAATTTAATCGCGGCGAATCAAATGGGCTTGTAAAGTTGTTGGGCTTAGTAACGAGAGAATTCCTAAAAGGTTAATATTTGCTGTGCCGAATGGTAAGCGTCCAAGGGGTAGACCGTAGCGAAGGTGGGAAGATTGCATTAAAGCCGATCTGAAGGGACTGGGTTTGGACGGCGAACGGTGGAGGGAGGTGTGTAATAAGCGATTGGTGGTGTCGGCATCGAACATTCGGGTTCGCTAAGCCTTATTATTATTTATACTTACACTCCTCATAATCTAGAATTTCGAAAGCTGGACGTGATTCTGAGTACCACCATTTATGTAATATATAGAATATTTAGACTAATATGTAAAAATTTCACCAAATGTGAATTAAAAACAATATTTATTTAGCTGACAATATAACATATATAACAGACAGGAGAAATTCAAATTTGACTTAAAGGATTCACAATTTTTGATAAAATTGTACATACTCTTTTACATCTGAACAATTTAATTTTAACAGTTTACTTTTAATTAAATAATATGATTATCATACCTATTTTAGGAAGTCTCTACAATGGTGCTACCTTGAAAAAATGTCAGGAGAAAGTCTTGATTATTTTTATAATTATGAAAATAAGCTTTAACGATTATTAAAAAAGCCTTTAGGGACTTAAACGAAGTCATTCAACTTTTAATTTTCTGAAGAATGGATTCGTCTTGCTTACATATTACTTTTGTCTACAGCTACCAAACTGGCAACGGAATCTCAGCTCAATCAGAAGGCTCACTGAAGAACCGAGGACAGAAGGATCTTGAAGCACAAACCGCTCGAGGTAGCTACTCTTACACAGCTCCTGATGGCCAGGTCTTCACTGTCAACTGGTACGCAGACGAGACCGGCTACCACGCAGAAGGTGCGCACTTGCCAACCCCTCCACCTGCGGCTGCTAGCAGCTTCAGGGGATGATAGCCGACACTTTGTTGTAATATTTATTTAAATATAGTATAATTTTGTTAACTTTTGGTTTTTATTAAGCACAACTTTCTTTATGAAGGATAGGATGGTTATAGGAAAATTCTTTCGATGATTTCCTTTTGTTTGATAATTTACTTATAGATCATCTTATATCTATTCTATCTTGTTTGGTTATTTAAAAGGATTTCAGAGGTCTAAAACATCATAGTTACCAAAGCCCAATTTATTTTTTAAATTATGAATTAAAATAATTCATAATTTAAAAAATATGGTGCGCGCAACACACAACGTTCACTTACCGCTCTACTGTGAATAGAAATTATTTTCTGGCAACGCTCAGCTATTATAAAATTAATGATTTGATACCTTACAGCTATCAAATCATTAAGATCATGAAAATAATAAAAAATCTACGTATTATATAGGCAATAAAAATCTCGTTACTCCGCATGTTTTGTAAACCACATAAGTTCAGTCTCTGAGCTATATGTGCCTTTCAGTTGACAGAATGACTCCAATTTCAACATTTTTGAGTGACGTCTAGTTGAGAAAGTTATCTATACAGACAGTGAGTAAGTTGATTCCAGAACAAGTGATTGCAGTGTTGAAACTGTGAATAAAGGTGTAAACTTTACCACTAGAGACCTCACTAAATTTAATAATAAAGAATGTTGAAATTTGGATTGGTCATTCTGTCAACCGAAAGGCTCATATATGCTTAGAGAGGTTTGAAAGTATATCTGAATATTTAACCTATAAATATTCAGTCATTTCTGTGATATTTCTAGTTGGAAAATATACATCTATACAGAGAGTGAGTATGTTGATTCCAGAGTAGGCGAATGCAATGTTGAAATATAGAACTGTGAATATAAGTATAAATTTCGGGTTGTTAGTTATTAAACTATTATGTTCCATTGTAAAGTTTACTAAAATGAAATTACGAGATTTCCATTGCCTGCCATACATAGCTCAAACGTTGTCACAATTATTCTAAGTATGTTGGAATTTCACAAGAGATAAATTTATCAAATTGTTCATTAATTTAATTTTCTAAAAGTTTACATGATGGTTTTTGGAATAAACGGACGATAAGTATCTAATTATTTAAATATATTACCAGATCTAGATTTATTAAACTACTGTAAATGTATTTAAGGTCATAAACATATTCATGAAATATTTTTATATTTCACTTCTTTTTTCACACTAATACAATGAAATAGTATTTTAAACAACGCATTACATTGATTCTGTGGATTTCAAATACTTTTTCAAACTTAAAAAAAAAGTTTAAAAGTTTACATTTAGTTAGAAATTTTCATTTAATTTTCTTGAAACCAGTGATTTACGTTAAATAATGTGTTTTCAGAAATTATTTTTATATTTTTTTCGTCGCTCTCCGTTATCTTCAACAACTTTATTTATTATATATTATTTTATTCAAATTTCTCTACTTCCCAACAATATATTATACATATACCTTCTGACTATTGTTTTTGATCGGGATAAGCATTTTTCTTTTTCTCCATTAATTAATTACCAAATTCTTTCAAAAATTATATTTAGATTTTTTTCGTAACTCTTAACAATGAGAGACAGTTATTTTTTTTTTTAAATTAACCAAATTTAAAGTAATTTAGAGGAAGATGTATTGAGACATTCTGCATTTAACGCCTGTAAGGTGACATCAATGTGGATAAAACCTAGCTGATATTAAAGACCACTTAAAAATACACTGATATACGAATTTAATTTTGAAAAAAAAACTTGTAAAAATGTGTTAGATCGATGTTATAAAGTTCCACTTCTGGTTTGCCGATTTTGACGTAAAAGTTGCTGTAACATCCCAGCCATTAAAGTACGCAATTCAGTTTTAGTTTTTGAGCTACAGTGTTCACATACACACAGACACACGGGCACACACCATTTGGTGAGACTTGATTATTTAGACTCAGGAGTCTTCAAAAGGTGTATTTCCGTTGAAAACTTGGATTCGAAAATTTACACGGTCGTAACCCTTTCCCTTTCTATATTTCATATATAGGTAAGTGAAAGTAAAAACTAAGAAAAAAAATAAAAGAGGGAAGAAAACGAATTATAAGAAATAAATAAATAAGTAAATATAAAATTAAAATGAATAATAATAATAACTCATAATTAAAAATAAATTAAATATTGCGTTATAGATTTACCATCGTCTTGTAAAACCATAGATATATTTTGTGATAACATTATCTCGTTACAAAAAGAATCATATAATAGAGATCATTACAAAAATATTTATTACGGTGTGACAATTGTATTTTAGACACTTCATTGTTGCCTCCATATTAATTAAGTCATATCCTTAGGCGAGTAATTGACACTTCCTCTCGGCGTACGTTAGGATTGAATGTTGCCGTGGCTTTCTGTTTTATTAATTTGTTTCAGTTTGCTATGTGGATTCTCGACTAACTTGTTTCATCAATGCTAATCTATATCTTTTATAAATTGTATATTTTAATTCGACATTGAAATTAACACTTCATATATGTATATGCACACCAATATATATTTAAGGAAAAGAATGGTTGGGGTGATTAGTCAAAAAAGATAAGTGAAAGTAAATAAGTATATTTATTTTTATTTTTGCCGAAGTTTCGGCCCAAAGTTTAAGCCTTCATCAGGGCTAAGAATAAAACAAATAACATTAGGTATGTGGAACTATAAACATTAAATAATAATATGTATATGAACGGTATAATCTAAAAAAATTAGGTAGATGAACTTAAAGTAAAATAAATTAGGTAGAATAATAACGGTAACAGAGAACTGAGAAATAAATATTGCTGATTTACATTTTGTTCTGTGATTATCTCATTTCCTTCTAGCATACTATTACAACATATTTTAGAAACTATGTCACCCCATTTATTTTTACTTTCACTTACCTATGTATGTAATATAAAGTAAGTGTAAGTATTGCGATCATGAAAATCTTTGAATCTGAGTTCTCAACGGAAATACAAGTTTTGAGGTCCCCCGAGTCCAAGAACCAAGTCCAGAAAAATAGTATGTGTATCTGTGTGTATTTGAAGAGTCTAGCTCAAAAACGAAAAGTCGTACGAAACTGATATTACCTATTTAAAATAGATATATGCCTTAGATGCCCTGATAACTTTTCCCTTAAAATTAGCTAACCGGTTGATATAAGTGCCACTTTATATCAACGCTGAAATACACTTTTACAATTTTCTCAAAAACGGCTCTAACGATTTTGATTAAACTCGGTGCATCATTGTGAAATTTAATGGTTAATATTAATCGGATCTTATCCCCATTGATGTCACTTTACAGGGCTTAAATGCCCAATGTTCATATACGCCTTACTCTAAAGTACGGTAATATGGTTTATTTTAAAACATTGATAATCTCACATTATTCAAAGTTACGAAAAAATGCTAAATATAACTTTTGAAAGAATTTGATAAATGGATAAAGGAGAAAAAAATAAAAATCCTTATTCAGGTCGAAAATGAATCTCCGGAAGTACTAGCCAGAATGTATACGTATAATATATCGCTGAAAAGCGGAGAATTTCAGAAAACACAATATCTAAGAAAGAGGGAGAGAAGAGAGAGAGAGAGAGAGAGAGAGAGAGAGAGAGAGAGAGAGAGAGAGAGAGAGAGAGAGAGAGAGAGAGAGAGAGAGAGAGATTAATTTTAATGCTTCATCTCTTCTTGAAAACAGTGCAAGCGGAAGCAGAATTTAAAAAAATCGCTGATCATAAATAATTACCCTAGCTGTGGTCTTTCCCATGTTTCCACCCTAGATCTCGGGTTGGAAACTTTTCTCTCCGAAATTTCATAACCCCGTAGGAATGTGCCCCCCTAAAACATTTCGATGGGGCAACTTGCGCCATGAAAACCTCTTCTGGGCACTTCTGACTTGTATGTAAGATACTCATGGTTTTGTAGTTTGGTTTATACTATAGTTTAATGAGTTCTTTAGTTCGACACCTTCGTTTGATATAATTATACTTAACAAATATTTTTGGATAGAATGAAGCTATTACTGCTTCTTAAGCTCTTTTAAGATCGGATAAACTTTATAATTATAAAACAAAAAGTAAACGAATTTGAAAGTTACCACTTGCTTTTTATACTCACTTTATCTGTGACATTGTTTTGACTGAATTTCAAACTATTTTGAATAAAACCAGAGATGCAGCATTTTTTATTTAACCATTTTCAAGAGTTAAATTACTTAGAAATAATACAAATGGGAAAGTGCTATACCTTCATTACCTGGAATATTTTTTTTTTAATATTTAAAAAAAGATTTCATAAATATACTCGGCACTTGTTTTACGGCACAATTGATTGTATATTATTTTTATTTATAATAATAAATGGATTAAAATGTATTTAACTTAAATTACAATAAAATTTTAGTTGTATGTTATCATCTGAACAGTAAATAACATGCCGAAAAAGGGCGTTCTTCTCTCTTTCAAACGTATTGAAATCCTGAAAAATCTCAGGAAATCTTAAATTGAAAGCCTACATTGCTGTGATAAAACCAGCAAAGGCTGTGAGGCCTGGACACTAAACAGCACCCTAGAAAGAAGTATTTGAGAGAAAAATCCTTTACACGATAATCGTAGCCATTTGGGATCAGAGTACTAACGCATGAGGAGAAAGACAATAAAGAGCAGGTTACAGAAATTGACTAATCAATATCTCATGATTTGAAGGCAATGGAGTTAAGATGGATTAGGCGTGTAGCTCGGAGCAATCTATTTGGAAGCATCTACACAACAATGAATGTCCAAATAGAAGGCCAAAGACCACTTGTAATCCAAAAATCAGATGGATAGATCTAAGCAATAAAGATGCAATATAGCAATAAATCAAATCGTCAATCTTAAATGTCTAAGATATACTCTAGAAAAATTATTCTATCTCAGTCCTAGTTTTTCTACCTATTCAATAGTAATTATTTATTTAATTACTTCTTAAATTTAGTTTTGTTTTATATTAGAAAACTTTACAAAAACTG